TGTAACTGAGACCATTAGCGTCAAGTGTACCAAGAGAAATTAGATTTCATTTCAGATTAGGAATGTAGCTAACATTAGTGAGTGTTTTGATTAGACCATTACATAAACTTAGTCTAACATTGCTAATACCTTTTATCTGACAAATAGCATTGTTTCCCATCAAAACCTTACCACCATCTAGAGGCAGAAAAGAACAAAACTATTCTCTATTTGGTGTCATGTGATAGGTGCACTCTGTGTCAAGTATCCGCTCCTCACTCAGTTTACCCTCAGAAATAATCAAAACTTTTGAACTATCATAACCCTCTGCGACAACATCTACACTCCTTTCCTTACTATTCTTATGTGATTTCTTCTTATTTTTCCTCTCAGGGCAATCTCTTTTAAAGTGTCCCTCCATATGACAATAGAAACACTTTCGGGAACCAGATTTAGATTTAGACTTATTTTTACCCTGATTATGACCTCCATTTTTCCAGTTTTTCTTTTCTGATTTTCCCCTAACACTAAGACCTTCCCCATCCCCATTATGCCTATCCTTCATCCTATTTTCACTATCTTTAGCTGAAATTGCTTCTATTACCTCTTCTAACTTTAGTGTTTGCCTCCCATATTTCAAAGTCTCCACAAAATTAGAATAAGATTTAGGTAATGTATTTAATAAAATCACAGCCTGATCCTCATCAGCAATTTCAACCGAAATACTTTCCAAGTCCTATTATATCTTTAAAAAATCATCCGTATTATCTTTTAAAGACTTCTGTTCATCCATTTTGAACCCAAATAGTTGTTGTTTCAAATATAATCTATTAGGTACAGCTTTAGATAAACAAAAAGAGTCTAACTTATTCCAAATCTCAACGACTGTCTTCTCCTTGATTTCTCGAAGAACTTTATCACCCAGCCCAAGAATCAAGGAACTCTTTGCTTTATCCAGCATCTCCTTCTTCTCAACTGCTGTCATGGATGTTGGAAGCTCTGATTCATTTTTAACGCTAAAGCTAAGCCTTCTTTCACCGGTACAACCTCCATCTTCATTTTCCAAAGCCCAAAATTGTTGGTACTTGTAAATTTCTCCAACTCAAATTTGGTAGACATGTTTAACAATGCAGGCTCTGATACCAATTTTTAATGTTTCTTTGATTTGAATAATAAAACTATGCTCTTAGATGAACAATCCTAGCAAGATTAATAAACAATCAGCCACAGAACAATCAATAGGCATCAAAATATAAAGAGAAAAACAAGAAAAAAATAAAGGAGACGGTCGATTATAGTGGTTCAGCACTCAAGGCCTACGTCCACTCTTCAAGGCAAGGTAGTATTTCATTGAATCAGCAATATCGTTAGATTTACAAATCATATTAACCTCTAAACCCAATAACAAGAAAGTATCACACTTAATTAATTGATAAACCTTAGCCCCTTTTGAATCCAATCAACTCTCTCTCTTTGTGTTGACCAAGGGTGAGTTTTTATATAATCAAAGGGTTTTAGCATCAGCTTCCGCCAAGAATCAAGCTTCCTTCTAGCCATAGGATGAAGATCAAGATGGATCTTAATAGAATGGTGTGACATTGCAAACAAGAGAGAGCAACAAAATTCGTTTTGCTGTAGGTGAATGAATGCCACGAAGACAAGAGCTAAAAGTGGTCCTCCATTCTACAAAACGACACCATTTCAATAAGCCTCCATATTTGACTTATCAAACATTATAAAAAGCTTGCTAACTTGGCTAGTGACATGGCAAAGAAGTGCCAAACTCATCACACTGGAAAATTGAAGTAAAAGCCGAATAGAATATTGAAATGCTAATCAACCTATCGTGAAATGCATGAAAATTAAAGAATACCTTCAGGATCTAGTTGTTGCCAAGAGTAATGTAGCTTACAAACTCCCTGTTTGTGGTACTAGCTCCAACAGTGAACATCCACGGCGCGACATTTGTTATAGTTCCTGGAGTTGGTCCTGAGTTGCCAGTAGCAGCAACCTCAACAATGTCATTCTTAACAGCATGAAAGGGACTAATTGCAAATGGATCATCAAAATATCTATTTGGTGATCCGCCGTTTGAAATCGAAAGCACATCAACACCATCACTTATTGCAACTTTGAAGGTAGCCATGATGTCTGCATCATAACAGCCTTGGTCATCTAGTGGCTTCCAGCATATCTTTTAAGAAGCCACACGAGCTTTAGGTGATCCGCCTTTTGCTTTCTCGTTGCCATGACCAAAGAAAGTAGCATTAGTAACGAAGTTACCACCAACTGTTGAAAGGGTGTGTGAGCCATGCCCGTCTAGGTCGCGTCCGGTCATAACCATGGGAGTGATGACATATGTTGCATTGATCCTGCGAGCGACCTGACGAGCATAATGAAGATAACCTTTGTTGAAAAACCTTACCCCTAACAATTTACTGCAGTGAATAAAACCATAATAGATGACACTCTAATCATACAAGGAAATTTGCACCATAATACAAAACATTTTCTATCAAAATTTTTGGAGAAAAGTGGAGAGAGTAGAGATTTGAGTAGTTAACTAAGTACCTATTGCATTCAATTCCATCTTTATGGTAATTTTGGCAAGTTCCTCGCCATTGTGTTGGCATTGGACCCATTTCTTCATCATTGTTTCTGGCCGAACGCCTTTCAGTATATCATGCAAATTATGAACAATGGTTAATCAAGGACAACAAAAACTATGAATGGAAAATACCTGGAAAAAGAAAGGAGGTATAGAATCATCTAATACACATGAATTTCTCAAATAGCATGGAATAAAATAATGAAAAATTAGGATATGAAAACTACCTGAATCAAGGTTTCCAATAATTACATCTTCACTGAATCTTGCCTTCTTCCATGGTAAGTTCAAAGGAATGTCATTATCTTTCTCTAATCCAAGAAAATTCCATGAATTTGTGGTATGTATTCTTCTTCCTTTGCTCAAGAAAGCTGCTACAACGTTTTGGTGATCTAAATAAAAATAAACACAAAAATAAATCATGTCATTTATGACCCTTCTCAATTTTCATATATGATAGAAACTTTACTCAAGAAATTAAGAGAGACAAGTATTAGAAACTGAACTTCTCACTTTTAACTCTTGCTACATCTTCCTCATTAAGGATTGCAGCAAAGCCATTGATAAACCAGTGGTATGAGCACAAAATCGAGCTTTTTGCCTTCCTAAAGCTGCTTAAGAACATTATAAAATGAATAAACTAATGCTAATCTTAGTTTCTGACAAAATCAAGGTCTCATTGTTTGATTTGTGATTCAAAATTTATTTTCAAAAAATAAATCCGATTCAGATTTTTGAGTTGTATCTTTATATTTTTAATATTTTAAAATATGTTTGATATAATATTTAAATAATGTTTTTAGATAAAAAACTATGAAAACCTGCAAAAAAAAAAATAAACTTTTATTTGTTTTATAATTTTACATTAGTTTTGAGGATTGTATTAAATAACTTTTTGACTCATACGCGTTTTCGTACGATTTGTTGTGTCCCTCGTTTTCAAAATATTTAAATTCTATATCAAACCAACCTCATTGTTTTATGAATATCTTTACCTTCCAAAGCATGATCCTAGGAGTTCAATATGATACTTTATGGCTTGTTCATAATCAACAGTTGTATTATCCGAATGACCTGGATATGATCCTAAATACACTATATAAGTTTGCATGATTTAATAAATTAAAATTAAAATTAAAAGTAATCAATTTAACAAACATATTACCATCAACATTTTAATGATTGTAAAAGAGAAATAAAACAAAATAATATTGGCTTGCCTGTGTTTCAGCAGGAGCTGATGTTTTAAATAGCAGCAGAGAATAGAAAATAGTGACCCTCATGGCTTTTTTCTTTGAAACTGAATTTATTATCTGCCGCTAAATTCTCTCCAAAGAGAGATGATACATCAACCTACTTATGTTTTTCATTTTGATTTTATAAATTTGTTTTCGAAAACAAATTCTATTGGAAGAAATTGGAGTTGAGTGATTTTAGAGTCAAAATCTTTCTCGGTTCATTTTTTTAATGTTGGACGGCGCACATATTGGGATATGTCCTTTTTCTCCTGTGGTTTGGGTTTTGTTCGCTTTGCCCCAGTATTATGGGATACAAACACTACAGTCATGTCAGAATTCAAATGACTTGACGTTAGTGTTGTTTCCCAAAGTTTAGAATTCCAGGAATTCCAGTAAAAGTCCAGTCTTGACAAATATATTTTCCTTATAAATCCCTAATTTTCCTGATGTTAAATTTAACCCATCAAATGCAGCTCTTCTCTTTTGTAAATTAGTCATCTATTGTACTTAAAAGAGTGTGGCAAGGAGTGAAATGAAGTAAATGGTAAACTTTAATATTGATTTCGATTTTGTATTTGTTGAGTGCTTGCAGATAAAAAATCATATGTTCAAATGGCACCCATTTGCATTGAGGTACATACTTCATATACTTTGGAAATTGTTCAAATCCAAACAAAGAGTATTTTTGTATTTTATGAAGTTATGGTCTACTCAGTAAACTTTGAGAATTGACAGCCCAAAGAAAATCAGGTACTGAGTAAATAACTCATCCCACATAGGAAAGTGCCATTGTTGCTACTTGGAGAATTGACAATTTAACTACTTGATGGAGGAGCCATGGAGTGGAGTCTATATATAAATCTTTAGCTAGTTAAAAGTTTCAATAGCAATACTTTTCCAGCTCAGAAAATGACAGTAACATCAGGAAATTCTTCAAGTAATTCTATTTGTTTTGTTTGAAATGGGCTGTCAAATGGAGAACTGGTGCTTCGAGAGCACTCTTTGGTTCTTGCTTTCTTTGAAATGTTTTCAACATAAAGCAAGTTAATTTTATCAAGACAGATTTGTAAAGCAAAAGCAAAAAAGTAGATAGTCTAACAAGAAGAGACCACATGGTAGGATACAAAAAGACAACAGCAATGTTGCAGCAAAATATACATCAGTTTTTAGATGCAGAATTTGCCATTGTGAGAAAGGCAGAAACATGAAGAGTCTGGCGAGCGTGAGCAGCAACGGTGGGAGGCTGTCGACGGAAGAGAATGAAGAGGATGAGAAATCGAGATTGGTCATCTCTTCTCTTCAAGCTAGAGAAGAAGAGATTCTGAGGAAGAAAATGGAAGTGAAGGAGAAAGTTGAACTTCAACTCGGCCGCGCTGAAGAAGAATCCAGGCGATTGGCACAAATCTGGGAAGTAAGTATTACGACTTAAATACTATTACATTTTTTTTTTTTTTTTGATAAATTAGAAATCCTTGAACCTCACTCTGCAAAGTCCAAATATTGTGGGAGCAAACCACAAAGCCTAACTGCATAACCCTCGTATATCTTATGTTCTGTTAAAGCTACTCTTTCTTATGTTCTGTAAGGAACTGGAGGAGCTGACGGATCCTCTCAGAAAGGAAGTTGCAATTGTGAGGAAAAAGATTGATATTGCTAACAAAGAGCTAAAGCCATTGGGACAGAGCTGCCAGAAGAAGGTTACTAATTGCTTTTTTTTTTTTTTTTATCTCCAAACTATTTTAGCAATTCGGTGTCAAGAGAATTTGATGAGGGTTTTGGTTGGTGACAGGAGAAAGAATACAAAGAAGCCATGGAAGCCTTCAATGAAAAGAATAAAGAAAAAGCTCAGCTGGTTGCAGCACTCATGGAGGTGAGCTCTAAAATCTAAATCCAATTAATCTCTCCCGCAATTCTTTTTCATTTTTCATATTTTGACAACGGCGATATATTGTTTTGTTTGTGATCTTCCTACCAGATGATGACAGAAAGTGAAAGACTGAGGATGAAGAAACTGGAAGAGCTCAGCAAGAACATAGAATCTATACATTAAGATGGCTTGATCTTCAGCAAAAGAAAATGCTTGTGTGCTTGTATTTAGTATAATATTTTTCATTACGTTTGTTCATCGAACTCAGGTAATAAAATTATCAATTCAACATTTCTATTTCAAAGTAAACCACATTTACTTGTGTCTAGGGTCTAAGGTCAAGAATTTTATTAAGCATGATATAAACAAAACTAGTATGAAATGTATATCCAACTGATAGCATACAAAGCCTATGGAAAATATCTTTTTCTATACTCAATTACCTGAACGAACCATAATGCCATGTTATGGGATGTCGTAACATGAACAAGAGGAGATCTGGAATCGTATTACAAAGCATGTTTGATAATAGTACTCATACAGTCAAGATTTCAAGGACTCCATGGTGGCAATTATAATAAAGGGAGCTCCCCCAGACTAAAATTCAATCAGATAAAAGCTTTTTGTACTCTTCCAGGAGCTTTGGGATATCAACCATACGCAACTGTGAATAAACAAGAGAGCAAAGATAAAATGCAGTGAAAAAAATGAGCACACTTCATTCAGAAGCGTGGAATAAAAAAAGAAAAGAGGTACAACACGAGGCATAGTGTATATTGATAAATGGTTAAATTTCATTTGGCTAGCATCAGCAGTAAAAAGCACAGGCATTGGAGCATCTTAAGGAGACTCACATCAAGGATCAGAATTTACACCAACCTATACATGGACCAAACCACCCCAAAACCAAAGATTAAAGGGTGCAAAAGAAAATTGAACCTCTGAAATACTCTATGAATTCATTGATGAGTTTACTTATTAGTCCAGCACCATATGAAATTACTTAAATGAACATGAATTCTATTCAAGTAATCGGGGTAGGACTAGGTGCTAGTTGATTCTTAAGGAAAAAAGGGAAAAAAAACTATAAATAAAGCTGAATAATGTATATTGATAAATATTTCATCTCTTAATAAAAAATGAGGGTTCAATATTGACTGTGCAATCAAGTTTCGAGCATCACAATACACCATGCCCTGACAAATGACAGCATACCTACATCTGAAGTATAAACTACTAGATGAAACTACATAACAAGAGAATATCTCAGTAGGCAAGTAATGCTGCATGGAGCACTCTGGATATCTAAATTGTCAGCTCTTGATAAACAATCAACTGAAACAGAAATAACATTTATCCGAATTATTCTCCATAAATCATACCTGAGAAGCATTTTTCAGATGATAAAACGTATAAGCCTCTTTTCCAAGAAGACTTGACTCAGAGGCCTGCAAATAAGGTCCACCATTGGCACTGCCATATTTAACAGATGATACCAAAGAGAGAATAACTAATCAGCAAAGAGTAGAAACAAAATAGAAAATGCCCTACAACAGACATGTGGCAACCAAACGACAGAGACATATTGCATGACACACATTTGCGTGGGAAATGTCCGAAAAAAATCTTACAAGTTTAAACAAAAAGATCTATAGATCATCAACTACAGTTCATCCGAAATTAGGGTTTCACTGACATGGAGTTCTAGATGTTAATATTATATAAGCAAGCAAGGATTAAGTAATGTTGAGGAAATTTGAGCTTTGACTGTGACAATTTCCTTCTTGTAAGAGTAGAACTACAAATATGTACATTCAAAAATAACCAAGGCTTCGAGAGTTGAGTATTACAAGTCTTTCAAGATACTGAGGAAAATTTTTCAACCTTTTATGAATTAAGTGCTGAAACAATATACTATAATTTGGACTATAAGGTGATTCTTACAAATGACAACGAGTAACCAAACGTTGATAATCTCGAAGCAACGGACTAAGTTCCTTGATTAGTATTGACTTTGGTGTACACTTCTTCCAATGATCACGAAGCACCTGAGTTGTCTTTTTCTGCACACGCACACAACATTATCAGTAAAAAATAACAAAAGTATATATCATGAAATTTATCAAACTTACCTGAGCTTGTGATTGTCCGCTACTGAAAACTACTCCTCCAGTTAACCTTGATGCTAGGTCAAGGAATTCTTTATCTTCTGACTCATCCACAATTTGAAGTCTAGGACCTGAGGGTGAAACTGAGACTTCTAACCTTTTTTGCAGTTCTGCAATAGCAGAACTTTCCCTGTGGCTTTCCTGTAGAAGATGTGAGGATCATTATCAATTTCAGAAACCAAAAAACAATTTGCATAGACTGATGGATAATCATAAGAAATTAGAAGGGAAATCAGATGCCATAGAAATTTTGATAAAAATTATTTGCTTCCAGAGGGAGAAGCAATCTATTAAGTTTTTATAAATAAACAAAGGTTCATGACAAGAATCTAAAGCATACTGATATGAGATTTCATTTTTCATTTGCCAATAAGATTTCACTTGATCATGAAGTCAAATTGCTAAAGAAGCGCAAATACTATTTAAACTTTGCAACTAGACATCCAGTGATCATAATATGTGCCATACCAATGTGTTCTACAAATAATATACATATATAGTGTTTCCATCCAATCAGCAGAAATAACCACCAACAGAAAGAACATAAAACAGCCTCCGGTTAGAACGGATAAAGAAACAAGATCACTCTAAATTTCATTTAACTGGTGACAGTAAAAATTTCAAAAATGTATTTGACCCCCCACAAAATTCCATCTACTGCACAAAAATTAGCCCACAAAGCATTTGCTTAAAACTTCAAAATTCACAACAATATTGAAAGCAAAGTTTTACTCCAATTGAAAGAACTGAAAGTTAAGAGCAGGGCTGAAATCCTCAACACACTGGCTACATCAACGGAAAAATAAAGGGAACTGGACATGACTAAATTAATACCTTGAGAGCAGATAGGGAATTATCATTTTCCATTAAGACATCCTTATTTTCAGGAAGACCTTCAGGTGGAGATTCAGCAAACCGTTTTGCAATTGGGTCCTCTACAAAACAAGTAAAAAGTGGCAGACTATAAACGTGGGGCTTTGGATATAAACATGACAAAGACAGAAATCAGCAAAATAAATCTATTGATATCAGTTACAGATTGTAATAGATGACCAAAAATTCTACGGGGGCGTTTGGTTGGGGGTTATATGGGATTACTGGGGCAATGTCATCTTATATTACTTGATTACCATGTTTGGTTGTCAAGAAATATAACATACCGGTAATCTTCAAATACCAATAGTGATTACTATTGGTAATATTGGAGGTAATCTGATTACCTCCATTTTCTTAGGTATTCTGAAATTACTAAGGTTATCTTTTTTTGTTACAATTTTATCCCTTATTAATAAAAAATTTGGACAATGATATCCCTACTTTAAAACAAATTTACATTAATATCCTATTTCAATTTTACCCTTAATTAATTAAAATTTTAGACAATAATGCCCTTATATTTAAAATAATTTATAGACCATCACTGCCACCTAGCCATCACCACCACTGCCACCCAGCCACCACCGCCGACAGCGGGCCAACCACCATGGGCTGCCGCCGGAAAATCACCGGAGTCTCTAAAAAAGAACGAGACTCGGTGGGAGACTCCGGGAAGCTTCGATATGGCCGTATCGAAGCCTCTTGGTCACGATCAGCTGCTGATGGGGACTTTCGGATACTTTCGGAGGTGGTCTGCGGTGGCGGCAGGCGACGGCAGGTGGTAGGGGTGATTTCGTAATAAATTAAAGTTTTATATAAGCGGGGGTGTTTTAACTAAATTTGAAATATTGGGGGTTAAATGAAATTATTCATAAATTAATTATAAAAATAATATTATATTAATATTTGAAAAGGGGACAATTTGGTAATTTAAATAACATACCCACCAATTTATTCCCCATAACCAAACATATTAATATAACATACCCACCAACTAACCAAATACATTTTTCTAAAGATTCCCAGTAATCTTCCAAGGTAATCTATCTTTCCAGTAATCCAACATTCCCAGTAATCTAACATTCCTGAACCAAACGCCTCCTACATGTTTGCTTACTTCCAGTAAAATCCATTTTCTTCTAAAATTATAAAACTTATACATGCCTAATAAAAAATTTCAGTCTTCCAATTTCAATGGACCAATATGAATTTTGGAACACCCATAATCACTTATAAAAATAATAATGATACTGCTGTTTAAAAACTTCTTAATAAAAACTACATAGGGTCATGGAAAACGTTTTATCCAACCAAATCAGCAAATCTCTTTTACCTTGTTTATTAACATTGTGCATCAAAAAGCCCTGAACAACATAAGTTTATCATTCTGAACCATGAAATACATATATATGCAAAACTATGTCTCTATTCACAAGAGAAGGCACAAAAATTTATTTAAACAAAAAAATTAATGCATACAATATTTCACAAATTCATTTCACTGATGCTTTTTTAAAGAAAAGGATAACTTAATGATAACCAAATATACATGAGACGCAATTAAAAAGTGATTTTAGTACCTTCTGGAACCAACCACCACATATCCCCAAATGTTGATTTCCCATCAAAGCCACCAAATAAGAGATAGCGAGAGCCTATAAGTGTCATAGAATGGTATGCTCGAGCAGGAGGGGGTTCATTGGCAATAGGTAAGCGCTTCCACTGTGCAGAGACTACATGGGCAAAAAGTACATAAATAAGTAAACCAAAGATCAGAATGGAAACGAAATTGATGGAGGTAAAGGAAATTGCAATGACTTCAAGAATTGTGAAATCATACTACGCCAAAGAATGGACTTAATCAACCAAGTAGATGCATGGGTTCCATGAGTTAGTGACAAGACCCACCCCAACCCCTCCCTGGGATATGGGACGATCCTGCAGAGTGTTGACTGGCTTCCTATTACAGTCACATTGGGTGTCACCCTTACACTTTCTGATTACTTTGTCTTTTAAAATTAATGTCCAATAGCAGAATAGTGAAAGCAAAAATAATAAAGATGGTTCATTAAATATCATAAAAGCACATCAAACACACGTCCTTTAAGAGTTCAACATGAAAAGTCTACAAGCACTCACCTCTGTCTAAAATAATAGAGTCATTATAATAAATGTCATAACGACTCAACCAACCACCAGTGCTATGTCCTCCAAATAGCAAGAGCTGCAAAAATATAGAATATCTTCACAAGAAGGTATATAGCAGGGAATGCAGTTTCATATTTTTGAGCCAAAAAAAAAAAAGTGTTTTTTATTCCCAATTTACTATTAGCTTTTAGTATCAAAACTCAAAATGGGGCTGAATTTCTATTATCAGGTTTAAAGATCTTCAGAGTTTTAAGAAACTAAATGACCTATGAGAATTAACCCTAGTTAAGGTGCTCAACATCTCTTATAGCTAGGACCAATGACTATCAATATCAAACCTCTTAACTATTCTCCATCATTCTGATTTTTTTTTTTTTTTTTTTTTTCCTCAATTAATAGCTAGGAGAAAAGCTGGCATAGATATTGGTGTTACAATAAACACCAGCATCAACAAAGGACAAAGAACACTGAAATGGTTGTATGCTGAAATGCGTTGTAGATCTACATAAGTTTTGGGAAATTGTCTCTTCCACTTTTTTTTTGGGAAATTATTAGACCTCAAAAATAGGGGTTCTCAGCAATTCTTTTACCAAAATTTCCAATTTAGTGGGGTCTTTTTATAGTTTCTGAAAACATTGGGTTCTTTCCCTCTCTCTCTCTCTCTTTTAAAATTTGAGCATCTCTCAAGGGGTTCACGATATTAGCTCTTTTTTGTTTCTTCTTCTTTTGAAGTAAGATAGACAGGTACACCATGCGCGGGTTCAATTCCCATTGTTCACCCATAGCCCATAACTAACTAGTGGTTATAACTCTAAAAAATATTAACATTTAAAATGTTAATTAACTCATATTTTCTTTTTCTTTTGTAAATTGCAAAAATGAAGAAAGGAATTCAATTTTCTCTCCTATGTACTACGGCGGCGAAGAATCAAATTATCACTGTATTTATTCCTTTTTTTACTTCTTCTTCCAAGTGTAGGATAACCTCATGGGGTTGCGTGTCTTTTTATACCAATTGGAACACTTCCTTCACCACTCCCATTGGGGTGGTCTACAGGTACTCCTCTTACTACAGGACTCTTACCTAGCCAACATTTCGATCTGGCTCTACCCAAACTTTTATGGTTCACCCCAACATTCCCCACTTGTTTGACTGTTGTTGAGCAATTTTTGGATATCAAATGGACCTGCCCAAAGGTTAAATTTAATGTGGCCGATTTCCCCTCCTTTGCAATAAGTTTTGCTACAGCACCCACTACTCTAGCTAATTGTCCACCCTTTCCTAGTGTGATTTCTATGATATTGTCTTCAATCACAGGATTAAAGATGGTCATCAAGCCCACAAGAAGACATGTATTTGAAGCAAGCATGCTTTTTGACAACGTATATTTTTAAGTTTTTAAGAGCCAATTCCACCATCAAACATATATTAGTCTACCCTCAAAAACAATTTGTGTCAGATTAACATACAAGTAAGCAGTAAGGGTTTCAGTTATGTCCTTACATTGTGCCCTCCGGATGTAATGGTATGGCCACAACGGGAAGAGGGTGATTGACCAGGAAGCTTCAATTGTGTCCATCCAGGAGTTTCATTCTCTTCCTTCCACAACAAAGATCACATATGAACATAACTTAGTAATTAAAGAACTTGAATAAACTTTATATAAATCTAAAATTATACTATTTCTACGAGTTGTGACAGCATAAAGCCAACGATCATGAAACAGATAAACAATGTATATGCAACTCAATATAGGGCACAGACTCACAGATAAGCACAAAAAGAAAAGACTGTATAGTACACAATAAGTACTACCATTGCCTTTGAACTTTTGTTACAGGTTCTCAAATTGTGCATTTTGATTGTTTCAGATATAAATCAGCATCAAAATTTGTGAATTAGTATGAATGGGTCTCCTGCAAGTTGATTAGTAGAAGGCCATAGCATGAGATCCCCATTCATTCATTCTTATTCTTGTGAAAAACGTGAGCTAAGAGTCTTTCAGAATGAAAAGTCCAAATCCTGCTTTTGCATCATGCATTTAAAATCCAAGAGATGAGTTTCTAGCATCTAAACATTAATACTGGCGTCAAATCAGGTTAGGTGAAAATATCATGTTATTTTGTCTTGAATGAGGAACTTGCAGCATAAACCAAGAGATGAAATGGATGATCACAACAACTTAAAGAATTCCTATTAATAACTATCGGTAGAATTTTTACCAACAAGAATGAAAAGGACAGCTACAGGTAAACCAGAAACAAGAGAAGTCGTATATAACTTGGTGAAATTAATAGAATACTCTCACTAAGACGAAAAAAAAGAATTAGCTATAAACCTTCTAGAATAAGCCCCTTTAAAGCCCATAAATCACCCATGATTGGTCCACCACCACCTATCAAATACAAGAAAAGCAATCTTATCAGCAAAGACTAAGAGTCACTAAATGAACATAGGAAAATTTCATCAGGATTGCAAGACAATCCCCAAACAAACATGTGATAGGAAACATAAAGAAATTAAAGGATTGTTGACATGACAATTTATGCCACTTCACCTCTGCCACCATAAACAAGCAATCGCTTCTCAAGCATTGTAGCTGTATGGCCACATCTAGGTGGTGGCACCGTTCCAGAAATTGGCAACTCTATCCACTCAAGTGATACTGTTTGAGGAAGCAGAGAACATAGCCAACAAGTTTGACATAAGTTTTATAGAATCTCGTAACACCAAAAAATAAATAAGAAAAAATCAACAAAATAAGAAAAACAAATTCTCTAAGCCAGAGCAAATAAGTTACTTGTGTCCAGGATATATACATCTGACAACCACTTTTTACCATCCCAGCCACCATACCTGCACTCAATTCAATTCTGCCTATATCAAATACTAAAAAAAAATCTAAATCAACTATTTGATAAACAATGCAAGGTATTACTACCCACATAACTATTTTACGATTTCCAATAGCTGATGCAGCAGCAAAATCTCGTGGAGAAGGTAAATCACCAAAACTGGTCAGCTCAGACCATTGCCATATATCTGAAACAAAGCATAGATTGAATAATCCTCAACGGGTCTATAAAGGGGACACAACCACTGAGACAAGTATATCCATTTTTATTGCACATGATTGTCAACATAAAGGGCTTGCATGACTAAATTCTTACCCGTGTCCAGAACCCAGAAGTCACCCAACCTGAAATTCCAAGTTCATGTTAATAGCACATTTAGAGAATTGTTGGGTATAAAAACAAAAACAATTGTATAGGACAGAATAGATATTGGATGAGAACATACCTTTTATTTCCACACCGTCCACCAAAGATGAACATATGACAATCAATTGCAATAGCAATGTGAAATGCTCGTGGGCTGGGACCCACCTGTCCATCAGAACCATTACCCGTGCACTCTGGCTGAAACCACAATTTATTATCTGAAACAATCCAAATTCACAACTTGAGAACCCGTACCAAACCTTCAAAAGCAATGCTAGTGCTTATCATGTATTAAAACGACCTTTCTTTCCATGCTTTCGTCTACATGTCAGTGCAATGATTAGAGTTCTTTAAGATTCCATACAAGATGGATTGCAGCATGCATTAGACACAATAACATTTATTTTTACAAAACCCAACCATAACTGTGTTTTGTCAATTGTTAAGTTACAGAGAAACGAATAATATAAGCTAAGTTAAGCTACAATCTCTTCACTTTTTCATCGTTATTTTCAAATATGAGCTAAAGAAAGAACTAGTTCTCTCCTTCAAAAATTTCAAAGAAAATTCTGAAATAATTAATTCCCAAAATGGTAGAGTTTGATCTCCTTAAAAACTATAAAATAGCAAGCAAATATGCTGAACAGAAACTGATCATACAGGACAAAGAGTACAAAACCATCAAAATTACTCCACTCCACACTTCCAGTGAATCAATAAATAAATGTAAGCTAACTAAGCAGTGATACCAATCAAAGATTAAAATAAAAACTAAACCCAGAAATCACATAGAACTAAAATTGAATTTTTAGAAAGAAAAAAGAATACCAATATCATAAACAGCGATATCGCTCAGAAATTTCTTGTCCACAAGCCCACCAAACACCACCACTTTAGATTTCCCAATGTTAACGGCCGTGTGACCGCTGTTAAAAAAAAAAACAAAACAAAAGATTGATGATCATGTAAAATATAACTGTATGGATAGAGAGAAAAAGAGAAAATTTGTTGCCTTCGAGGTTGAGGAAGAGTTCCACCGAAGTCAGAAGAAGAAGCTCGAACCCAGTAGTGCATTTTACCCGATTCAGCTAACTCTGTTCCAGCAAATCACACTTCAAAAGATGTTTCTCTTCTCTTTGAAATCGCCAGAAAACTCATTTCGTACCTTCCACGGTCTGATAAGTAGAACTGTAGCTCGACCCGGGCCGGGTCAGAACAAGCCCACCAAAGCCCAATATGTTAAAAGGATGAGCAATCATTTTAATCCCACTTTTTTTTTTTTTCTTTTAATCCATCCCATTTTTCCTATCAAATTAAGTACACATAAATATTTTAAGAGTAAACGACATATTCCCACCCAAGGTTTGACGAAATCCCAGGTGAGTACCACAGGTTTCATTTATTCCATATTCACACCCTTAAAGTAACGTGTATGAACTTTTAGGGTTAGAGACGTGCAATTACCATAATGCCCTAACCTAAATTAATAAATTATTTTTAACCCCTAATTTATTAGAATTATAAAACTTACCATTTTATTTTCAAATTATATCAAAAAACACCACGGTCATTACACCCCCTCGGTCATTACACACCCTCATCGGAAACAGCCCGATCTGGGCTGTTTCCGACGACGTCGAACGTCCTGGTCACTCCATCACCTTCCCCGTATTCCACGCCAAAACCCCTCTCATTCCCGACTATTTGCCCCTCCAATCGCCGGCACCGAGACTAGGGTTTTGACGTTCTTCACGGATTCCGGTCGATTCGGCGGTGGAAAATCCATATGGACACCACCAATGAAACCACCGTATCCAGATCTATAAATTCCCCATGTCCCAGCAGCCGTTAGTCGTCATTCGCCGGCGCGGAGTCGTTGTTCTTCGGCCGTTTTTCGATGAAGCGGTGGACGGCAAACGGTGAGCTGCCGTGGCTGGAAACGTTAGGGGTTTTGTAGGCGAGGATTGGAGGAGTCAAATGGTGGTGACAAGGGTGATTTTGGGTGGAAAAATCGCCGGAAAAAGAGCGAAAAAGTTTACCGGCTGTGGTCTGCTAACGTGCGCCGGAGGACTGTTACAGGTGGTGGTCTGCTAACGTGCGCCGCCCATGTAAAATGACCAATTTACCCCTTTACCGTTATATCAAACGTTTTTCCGTCACTTTAAGGGTGGAAATCTGGAATAAATTGAACCTGTGGTACTCACTTGAGATTACGTCAAACCTTGGGTGGCAATATGTCGTTTACTCATATTTTAAATAAGAGGTTAATGAAAAAAAAAAAAAAAAAAAAGATGGGGTTGAATATAATTTCATTAAAAGTATAATCGATATAAGAAGGGAGTAATGTATCATATGACGAGTGCAAAGTGCCTAAATGTTATCATAAACTAATTATCACGTAAATAATTTATTTAACAATCATCAATCACGTTATTTATAAAGATAGATGAGAAAAAAAAATCAAGATTAATCATAAATAAAACAGTTATATATGACATAAGGACATTAATTTATGATATCATGACAAATTATGCTTGTGATATTCTAAAAAAAAAATTCTCGTTAAAGAGTTATTAAATTTAAGTTAGAACTCAAAGAAGATTAGTCAGGAATATTATACTTATCCAACTACTTTTGAGTGATCGAGTAGTTTGATAAGAACTGTTGAATGTATTACTCAAGAGTATGTGTTATTTTTTAGTGATCGAGTGGTTTGATAAGAACTCTTGAATGTATTACTCAAGAGCATGGGTGAATCCAACACTTGTTGAGGATAGGTCATGAACCACCCTCAATTTAAAAAAAGAAAATACTAATATATACAATTTCTAGATTTTCGTCTACCCTAACAAAAATATTAATTTATAATTAGTTTTTATTTTAAACCACCTTAACAGAAATTTTTGAATCTATACTACTATTTAAGAAATCCTAAATTTAAGTCTTTTCTCAGTTTTACTAATAAGAGTAATTATTAGAACTCTTAAGTCTTATCAGATGATAAGATCGGGGCATAAGCGGGCCCTAACATCCTTTGGCATCAACCGATTGTCGTGTTTGGCATCCAATAATTTAGTTATCAACATTGTATATCTTCTCCACGTGTCATCAAGAATAAGTTTTTCAATATACAATGTATATTTTTATTAAAAACAGAATCTCAACCATATATCATAAATAATAATCACACAATACACTATTTTTAAAACTTATTGACGTGATAAAACAAAAGTATACGAGTGATGACTAAAAGGAGTTGATTTTGGTTGCACAACAAAGCTTGATCAATTCATCAATTTCTTCGTCACCTTTCTTTCTTATAGACTCACTCATTTCTCTTGCTTTTCTTCTCTCTTTCTCTCCGTTTTCTCCACCACCACCTCTTTTATCACTCTCGCAATCTCTCCCCTCTCAAGCCCCCCGTTCTCCTTTCTCTCACCTCAATTCCAACGCCAACATCTTCAACCAACCTCGCATTCAACGGCTGATCAAGATGCATCGGCATGGCGATTATCGGTACCCCAAACTGCATGCTCTCCATTACCGAACTCCACCCACAATGACTCACAAACACCCTAATGGCACCATGCGCTAAAACTCTCGCTCGTGGCGCCCAACCTTCAACAACCATGCCTCTCTCCATTGAAATTCTGTCAAGAAATTCCTCTGGAAGTTCATCTTCAAGCTTAACTTTCTCTTCGCTATTCGGAAATCTAACAACCCAGATGAAGTTCACCTTGCTATTCTCTAGTCCGCAAGCTATTTTTTCCATCTCTTCCCTGGAAGAAAATACTCAGTGCCGAAGGAGACGAACACCGCCGAGTTTTTTTCCCTCTTGTCAAGCCATTTGATGATTTTCATTTCTTGAAAGTTCTCTTCTTCATTTGGATCTTGAACAAGCGGGCCAACGGAAACCATCTTCTTGTTGAGTGAAAACGAGAGATAATCAATATATCTCCCCTCCAGTTCTCTGAAACTCTTTATCAGAATAATGTTAGAAGAGCGCTCAAATCATTCTTCAACCTTGTCTTGATCTTTCATTCCATTTGAAATCGATTCAAGCAAGTGGGATAATTTCGGCTTCACATAATCATGAATAAAAATCCCTGGATTGAAAAATTCAACACCTGGATTTGTACCAGTGTGATCTAAAAACGCAGTCATCACGGCAGAAGTGACAAGAAAATGAACGGTAGGAATGTTGAGTGATAAAGCCATGGCAGGCGCCCATGGCTGGAGAAAATCATAAATGACCAAATCGGGGTTGAGTTCTTTCAGGATTTGGTGGAAATCAGGGGCGGCCATGTCGAAAGCTTTCTTGAGAGTAGGCATGAGGTGGAGAGTTAGGTCTTTGGTGGTGTGATAGTGAGGAGGAAGGTCAGGTGATGAAGAAAGGTGGAGATCTATAAATTTGATTGAAGGTGACTATTTTGGAGAGAGTTTAATGGAATTGAGATTTACAGGCGTTGAACAAAAGTAGATGAAGAAGCTTCCCTTTGTGAGGCTCTTGGCTAGCTCCATGAAGGGAGATATGTGACCCTGAGCTAGCCATGGCAGCATCAAAATACTGATACTTCTCTGCCTAGAATCCATGTTCTTGGCCTCTCTCCTTTACAATTTATGTTTTGTGATGAAAGTTTATATAGAATATGCGAAAACATCTGGAATATTATAAGACTATCGCGTCCTTTTATAAATCATTGAATCAAGTAGAAATTATTCATTTTAGACTCCGGTTGAAATGAGTTTGCTTTTGAATTTCATTAGTTAGATACTACGAATCACATATAAAACTATTTGTTTTATAGACCTAATGTCTTTGTGAGGTCGTCACATCGGTTCTAATCCAATAAAAATTATATGTAGGTCTAGACGACACATAGTTTTGAGCTTTTTAAGTTTCATGTAAACCTTCTTTACTCAAAACGTGTATATTTAATTAGAGACATCCATTAAGGATATAAGATAATAATGTTTATAGATAATATTAATAACTTTAACGGCGTCACCAGCTTTTAGATTATATTAGTACTTCTGAGTAATTGAGTGGGTTGATAAAGACTTTTAGGTATATTACTTAAGAAATCCTGAATTTGAGTCCTTCCTCAATTGTTAATAGGGATAATCATTGAAGCTTTTACTCGAACAGTAATTTTAAAGTCTCAAGAGATTAAAGAAATGAGTACGTTGGTCTGAATACTCTGATCATTAAAAAATAATAATAATAATAATAAAAATAAAAACTCTCTCATATCATGATGTTGTGCAATATGGGACATGGGACATTGACTAGGGATATTAGGATTTGGCTGTATACATTAATATTAACTCTGTAGCATAAACTTTTAGTTTACTATCGAAGACTTTTTCGGATCATGATGTGTGGATTCTGGGACGAGAAAGTATGGGAGAAATGAGATTGAGGCATGAAATGGAGGAAGAGAAACGTGGCAGATGAAAAAGAGCGTGGAAGCAGGAAATGAAGGTTGGTGTCAATTCTAACGTAATTCCTCTGAATTAATATATATCACATATTCAGGAGGAAAGGCAATGCCACTAGTTTTGTTCTTTTTCGATCTCAAAAGACAAACGCCTGCCATTGTATTACGTGTGGATGTTGTGCTCAATTTCTCCTTTGCATGCGGCGAAAACGATGACAAAGACAGACAATTAATGTTGCCATAAAATCTTGAAAGAGGAAAAACCATAATTAATTATCAATCAATTTAATTGAATGAATGAATAATCAGTGCTAGTCTTACAAAGAAGCTTATAAAGAAGATATACAAAGTTAATCTACATCCTTTATCTTCATCATTTTTCTCTCTCTTTTTCTTTTTTTCCATTTTTCTTTTATTTTTTTCTTCACTTTGTAAACTTCTTTGTAAGGATAGAATTATAAAAGGGTGAGCGGTTCTGGGTATCCTGTATTTTTCGAGAAAATCAGAACCAGAACTACACAGTATAGGTTCCCAAAAAAAGGAACCGAAATCGGAACTGCACAGTGCATGTTCTTCAATTCAAGGAACCGGAACCTAAAATGTAAGTTCCGGTTCCTTTCCAGGGTACCCTGTAAAAAATCAATTACCCCCCTATTAGTTTAAAAAATAACAAAAACACCTTATAAGTTTACAAATACACCCCT